AATTTTCACCTATTCGCCAGACTTTGCAGATGGCCAGTAAGTATACTATACTACTACCAAGCTCGACTCTCCATAGGAGAGGAGAGACACTTTGTTCTATTGCAGGGCTGTGGAGTGTGGCTGTCATAGCTTCGGCTATGGCCATCTGTTTCTCTTGCAGGGCTGTGGAGTGTGGCTGTCATAGCTTCCGTCGGCTATGACGATCTGTTTATTTGGGGGAACGACGTCGCACATGCTTTCAACACTGCCCATTGGTTGCGATCGCATGTGCGACACATGCTTTCAACACTGCCCATTGGTTGCGATCGCATGTGCGACGCGGCCTCCCTTCAAACGATGCAAACTGCTCGTGTCGCTCGTGTCGCTTGTGACAAGCTTGCCTCGCTTGTGACAAACTTGGTGTGACAAACTTGGTGTGACAAACTTGTTGTGGCAAGCTTGTCATTACTAGCGCAGTGACACAGCGTCAAAGACAACAATTGGGTCGCTGGCGACACGTGGTCATCGCTCGTGACGCTTGTCACCGTCGCAGTGTCACAGCGTCACAGCCAGTTAAATCGCCTCTGACACAGTCGCAGTGACATCCGCAAAGCTTTAACGCCTGTCACACAATCGCAGTGACATCGCAAAGCTTTAACGCCTGTCACACAATCGCAGTGACATCGCAAAGCTTTAACGCCTGTCATCACAATCGCAGTGACATCGCAAAGCTTTAACGCCTGTCACACAATCGCCGTGACATCGCCTGTCACACAATCGCGGTGACATCGCCTGTCTCACAATCGCAGTGACATCGCCTGTCACACAATCGCAGTGACATCGCCTGTCACACAATCGCAGTGACATCGTCTGTCACACAATCGCAGTTACATCGCCTGTCACACAATCGCAGTGACATCCGCAAAGCTTTAACGGCTGTCACACAATCGCAGTGCATCTTTCTGTGTTTTTGCAGTAGATACATACTCCATTTTGCACATTCGGGCAGTAGCGCGGCGAGGCCTGGAGTTGAGTTACACAGCATAGCATAGACCATCGCTGTGACATCGCAGTTGGATCCCTTGCGCCACTGCGATGGTCTATGCTGGTGTCACTAAGCTTTACGGCCTCGCCGCACTACTGCCGGAATATGCAAAATGGAACATGTATCTACCGCAAAAACACGCAAAGATACACTCGCCATAGGTTTGTCATTTTCACGTCACGTGAGGGGTGCGGCGATGCCCTTGCCTGTTGCGCGTTCGCACAGTCGTCTGCATGCACCGATCGCGCCATCATCACTACCACAACGATTCTTTTTTTTTCCCTTTTTTAAAGTTTTTTTTTTTTTCCCCCCACAACGATCTGTGCCTTACGATACAGGAGGGAGCAGAGAGCAGGGAATAAACTAATTAACTAATATATATAATCACTAATTAGTTAATTAGTTAATTAATTTTAATTGGAAAAAAAGGAGGGATCGTGGAATAGGATAAAGAGGGGTGGGGTTACCTTGACCAGCAGCCGAGGCCATAGCAGTGCGAAAACCCCCCAGTCCACGTGTGCAGCCATGGAGATGACACGTGGCCTCCCTTGTGCTGCCGCGAAGGAGCCTTAAGGTCATCATGTCTCCCTCTTCTCCTCTTCTCCCTTCTCCTCCTCTTCTCCTCTTCTCCTCTTCTCCCTTCTCCTCCTCTTCTCCTCTTCTCCCTTCTGCTCCTCTTCTCCTCTTCTCCCTTCTCCTCCTCTTCTCCTCTTCTCCCTTCTCCTCCTCTTCTCCCCTTCTCCCTTCTCCTCCTCTTCTCCCTTCTCCTCCTCTTGTCCTCTTCTCCCTATCTCAACAACTTTCTACCTCGCTTTTTTTTCTTTTTTTTTTTAATGCTTCCTCGCTTTTTTTCCTCCTCCTCTTGTTGCTTATATACCCTATCTCTTCGTTCCTGTATACTTCCCACAAGTGCTTCGTTGCCTGAATATGGCCGTATTTGCAGTCAGATACGTTCAGAAATGGGGTACGTATAAGTAGAATGTCTTACTCGTCTCCTCCCCATTTCCTCCTCTCCTCTTCATTCCGTTTTCGTCTTCTCCGGTCCCCCTCCCCCTCCCCCTCCGCCTCCCCCTCCC